CTGGCCCACCAACTTAACTGTAATTCAACTTAACTCAATTACTGTACTCTTTTTTTTCTTTCCATTCCAGAAGTCTTTTTGCCTGAACAAAAAAAGCCTATAGAATTCAAAAGAAAAGTGGATTTTGAGTGCTGATATTTTAATGAAGGCTGAACACTTACCTATTTTTTCATTGAGAAAAATTAAATTTAGAAAATTTGGAAAATGTGTTTGCTTAATTTGTCAAAAAACCATTGCTGTGAAGAAAATTTCAAATATTAAACAGCACTATGAAATTCATCACAATCATTATAACAATTTCACTGAAAAGCATGACAAAACAAAGTTGCACAGCTGGGAAAGGAATTAACAAAGCAATGATCATTTTTCACTAGAAAGGTTAAAAAAATGATAGAAACACTTGTGCTAGCTACAAGGTGTCAAAACTAATTACAGAAAGGATGAAACCTTTTAGTGATGGAGAGTTCTTCAAAGAATGCATGTTGAAGGTAGTGGATGTTATTTGTCCAGAAAAAAATGGAATTATTTTCTGCAATCAGCTTATTGGCAAGAACAGTAACAAGACAAATTGAAGAACTAGCAGCAAGTGTCAAAAGTGGCTTGGAGTACATTTTTAAAAATCTGATTATTCCATTGTTATCGATGAAACTACAGATATGACAGATGCTTGTCAACTTGCACTGTTTGTGAGCGAGTAACACCAACATTTGACATTGTGGAAGAATTTGTACAATTAATTCTTATGAAGGACACTAGCATTGGAGAAGATATTTTTAAAAGTGTGATAAAATAAATAACTGAAACAAATCTTGATTCATCAAAGCTTATTGGAGTAACCACAGACAGAACACCAATGATGATCAGAGAGAAAAGGGGATTTGTTGCATTTTTCCAAGAATAATACATTGGTATTGATCACAAAGTAACCAAACTTCATTACATTATCCATCAGGATGTTTTATGTGCAAAGTCATTGAATTTTAAGGACATTATAACAGTGATTGTGAAAACAGTGAATTTTATACTGTCAAGAGCATTAAATCATTGCCAGTTTCAAGAATTTCTAAAACAAATTGAAGCACAATATACAGTAATATACCTTACTTATTTTTCAAATGTTCAATGACTTAGACATGGAAAAATGCTGGAATGAGTATATTCATTAAGAGAAGAGATTGCTATGATTTTTGGAGAGCAACGATCAAGATAATTCTTACTTTCAGGATCCAGAGTGGATTGTCAACTTAGCATTTTTAGTGGGCATGATGAGCCACATGAACTCTTTGAATCTTGAGCTTCAAGGAAAGAACAAGGTTATATTTGAGATGTTTGGTCAAATTACTGCTTTTGAAAGAAAACTTCAACTATAGGAATCACAACTTCAGAAAGGAAACTACTCTCATTTTTCAAATCTCCAAAATCACAAGAGAGATATAATACCAGACATCTTTGTGAGCTCTATTCAGGATTTAAGGAGCAAGTTTTTCTCCCATTTCACTGACTTCCAGCAATATGGAAATCAATTTAAATTATTTGGTACTACTTACAAAACAGATGTGCAAATGGTAGAAAGATATCAGTTGAAATTAATTGACTTACAATGCAACAAATTTTCTAAAACAAAATTTAATTCTGAATCCACTGCTTACTTCTACAAGAAATATGTTTTACCAAGTGAAAAATATAAAAGCCTGTTGAATAATGCAAAAATGATGGTACCATTATTTGGAAGTACATATGCTTGTTTTTTTGAAAATGAAATATATTAAAAGTTGTTTATGAACAAGGTTGGGTGATGACCACCTGGATGACATTTTGCTCCTGTCATCCACAAATATTTCACCTGATGTGAAGAAGTTATTGAACAATAAGCAGAAACATGTGTCTCATTAAATAATTTGCCATTTATAACTGTATTTTATTTGTAGTAAGGAATTTGCATTTTTTGCTGATTGTGTTAGTTATTATCCTGTTATTCCTGCAGTAAAATAAGGAACCTTGTTTAAATAATATATTAACTTTGTTGTTTTTTCTTTAAACCTCCAGACCAGTGATTCCCAACCACCATGCTGCGGCACACTAATGTGCCACAGAATGATTACTGGTGTGTCGCAAAGAGATAATACCTAGAAGCCATTTAATTTCATTTTGTTTAATAAAGACATTCAATGTCTTAATCATGATGACACTGCTCAATTACATTTAAGTAATATTGGTTAGGAATCGGAATCATTAAAAATTTAGGTATTGTTTTATCATCAGTTTATATTGTCTATATATCTCGTTCACAATATTTACAGATTCTTTGTAGATATTTTTATTAAATATTTAGGCATTGTAAATTAAAGTTTTAGTAAGACAAACAAAAAACAAATTAAATATAATAAAAATTCTTTTAGTTTTATTTTTTTCAATTTTAGATTCAATTTACCCTTAATTATGGACAAGTTTCTGAAAAGAAAAGGCAATGGTGAAAAGAATAATTCTACAACGTCATTTAAAAAAACAAAAGTTCACCAGTTGTATAGTGATGATTACTTGAAATTTGGATTTCACTGGACTGGAGATACACAGATTCCTTCTCCGCTATGTGTTGTTTGCAGCCAAACGCTGTCTAATGAAGCAATAGTTCCAAGTAAAATGAAAAGACATCATCCTAGCCTTCAAGCTAAAAATGCCGATTATTTTCAACGGTTGTTAGAATCAAATTCAAGGCAAAGTCAACTATTTAAAAAAACAGTAACCATGTCTGAAAAAGCTCAATTAGCTTCATATGAGGTGGCCGAAATTATTGCTCTTAAATCGAAGTCTCATGTTCTTGCAGAATCAGTGATCCTTCCAGCATGCAGATGGTGAAAATTATGCTTAGTGATAAGGCCGAACAAGAAATTAGCAGGATCCCTCTTTCAAACAATACAATTCAGCGAAGGATTCTTGACTTGTCTGATAATATTGAGGAAAGTGTAATATCCAAATTTCAAAATAGTCTGTTTGCTCTCTAAATTGATGAATCTACTGACATCAGTAATCATACACAGTTAATTGCATTTGTACGTGTCATCGATGAAGATGCCATAATTAATCAATTTCTATGCTGCAAACAGTTACCCACAACTACAAAAGGTCAAGATATTTTTGATACATTCACAATATGCCTCAAAAAATATGGCTTATCCTGGGATTTATGTATGGGAATATGTACCGATGGAGCACCATCAATGGTTGGTTCTGTAAAAGGTTTTGCATCTTTAGTAGAAAAACAGAATCCTTACATCATGCGAACTCATTGTTTTTTACACAGAGAGGTATTAGTTTCAAAGATAGCACAAAATGAACTAAAAGAGATGATGAATCAAGTGGTTGAAATGGTAAATTTCATAAAAACTCAGCCTTTGAAGGCCAGAATTTTTTGAGTTGCTATGCAAGGATATGAATTCTCATTATGTTTGTTTACTATTACACACAGAAGTAAGATGGTTATCGAATGGAAACGTGCTATCTCGCGTAATTGAGCTTCAGAAAGAACTTTTTATTTTTTTTCAAAATGAAAAACTTGATAGATTTTGTAAATACCTTAAAAATGAATTGTAGATGTCTAAAATAGAGTACTTAAATGAGATATTTAGACATCTCAATAGTCTGAACAGCAATATGCAAGGCAGAAATGAAAATATTCTTATGGTAACAGATAAATTAGTTGCTTTTAAGAAAAAAGTTGCAATATGGAAGAAAAGAATGAAGGTAGATGATTTGGATATATTTCCCTTAGTTTGCAAAACCTGCGTTACTGAGATGATTCCCATTATTAGTGAGCATTTGACATGTTTAGAAAATAAAATTGAAGATTATTTTCCCTCAATCAGCATTGAAGAATTTGATTGGATTCATAATCTGTTCCTAGATTTATCAGTCATCAACCTTTTCAATTTTGAGTTATGTGAAGAGGAAGAATTAGCAAGCCTTTCTAGTGATCGTGGTCTCAAATTGAAGTATGCACAACTGCCATTGGACGTCTTTTGGATTTCTGTTATGGAAAAGTATCCAACTCTAAGTAAAAAAGCCATCAAAATCTTACTGCAATTCTCAACTTCGTACCTATGTGAACTGGGATTTTCTTACCTAAACACCATTAAAAATAAAAAACGTGAAAGACTTAAAAATATTGAAGAAGAGTGTGTCTCTCTCACATTCACCCAAATATTGTAGCAGTAGTCAAGAAGCACCAGGCACAACTGACATTATTATTTTATACCCAATATTGAATACAGGATATGTTGATTTATGTGAATAAAAATTCTTCTTATATAATATTCTTTGTTTTTTATTATTTTATTACAAAAAGGCTTTATGAGTGGAAAATATTTATTTTTTGTGATAGGTGTGCCCCAAAAATTTAAAAAACTCAATAGTGTGCCGCCATGTAATGTAAGGTTGGGAACCACTGCTTCAGACCAAGGCAGACTTCTGGATGGAGTGATCTGAGATCGAGACAATTTATTATAGTATATTTGATATCATGACCCTCCTCTGAGACACTACATAGCTGTTTGGCACGCTCTCTCCTAAAAGTTGCCGACCCCTGATTTAATAGATATATGATGTACTAAAGTAGTTTGAGTAAGATATTAATACAGAAATGATGTTGAATATTTTTTGCCTTATACCCATAAATACTAAATTGTATTTATGCATAAGGTTTTCCAAAATGCAATATTATAGGAAAATAGAGATAGATTCATATCATTGTTTTCTTGATTTGACATATTTTATATTTAGCCTGGTTTTATAATAGAAAATAATTTATTTTAAATGCACTACTTAGCTAATGTATATATGAACTTGCACATCTATGTGATTTTCAAAGTTACTTGAAATGTTTATTTAAAAATCAGGTAGTAAGATTTATTTGCCTGAACCAATAGAGTTCATATTTCTGCTCCACTTCAGATGATACTGCATTGAAATAACTATTTATAAGATCATTTTTCTAATCACATTAGGTTATGGTGTCTACACATATACTAATCCATTCTTCCAATATGAAGGGGAGTGGATTGATGGAAAGAAACATGGTGAGTAGAATCCTAAATTATCTTTTCCAATTAATACTTCTTGTTTACATATTCATTGATTATTAATTAACTAAAAGTTTGAAACTTGAAATCAATAAATACAGCTGATAAATAGCATCAGATTCTTTTTCTACAATACTATGCCAATTTCAGTTTACTTTGGGTGCAAATTATTGTTTTTATCCACTGATAGCAAATGATTTGTAAAATATTCTGTACTAAGCACAAATAAATTCTATTATCTCAAATTAATCTTCAATGTCAATAAGCAAGAGAGAAACAGTAAAGCTGTGTGCAATTTGACCACTATTTACCTGATATTTCAATTTCACTCATTCAAGAAGTAAAATGAACTGTCATTTGACCTAATGATTGTTGTCATGACATTACCCATCTCAGATAGACTGTTATAATTTGATGAAATATAAATCATTAAAATCAGCCACCTAATGGCCTTTGTCTTGAAAACAGTGAATTTTGTCATAACACATGTTGGCCATATGAATTGCTGTATATATTATTACTTGCTGGAAGCATGACATTTTAGCAGTTTCAAACCTTTTAGGATACTGGAATACATTAATAATTAAGTAGTGTTGAAATTAACTATTTTTCTTCTGAATCCATTTTAGTCATCTACAGCTTCTACCTCCAAATTTGATTATGCATTTTCATTATTTGTCATTGCACCGTTATAGCTGTAGTTATTTTATTCTAAAGTCAAAATATTTTTTAATTCAGTATGGAAATATTCCTGATTTGCTTGTTGAACTTTGTACATTAGGATCTTCTGTCCTGTTATAACCAGTAAGTTTTTGCCTACAAATAGGAAGAGAAGAGACATAGCAGGAACAGAATATAAAGTATTGGTTCAATAAACATTTTGTAAAAAAATAATACAATTTGCTGCTAATTTTGGTGTTCTGTTTGATAATTTGTTGAGAATCCTTTATCCAAAATTCTTGGGACCAGAAGTGCTTTAGTTTTCAGTTTTTTTTTTATTTTGGAATACAGGCTACTTAATTTATATATAGTATCTATAAAATGAGGCAATTTGAGAATTGAACCCAAGTATAAACAAAATATCTCTTTACATTTCATAACACTGCTTATGCATATACCCTGAAAGTAGTTTTATATAAATAACATATAGCCTGAAAGTAGTTTTATATAAAATTTAATAAATTTTGTGTACATACAGACACAGGTAATGGCACTATTTATGTAATACTCACATAGATTTTTAAGTTGTGAATTTAAGAATTCACGTAAAAATAATGTTTTGTACTTTATGTATGTATACAAAAAAAACATGATCATGATTTGCAAAAAATATTTAAATGCACAAATTTTTTTACATATCTTTACTAAACACAAAACACCTGGTAAGTAATCCATGAACAAAGGTGTTGCTGTGATGATTGCTAACAAAAAACTGGTGCCAACATAGGCTACATAGCTGGACTAGGGAACCCCCAAATGAAGTCACTTACAACAGCTGCACATCACCTAGGAACCTTACCAGTGCTTTCTGAAATTTCCCATTTGTGGCAAGTCATGTGATCATCTGAAACCTTTCGGATTTTGGAGGTTTTCAGATTTTGGAATTTCAGATAAAGCATACTCAACCTGTACAACATTTATTTTTGCTTACAAAAGAGTTACTTTTTTAAATATAAAGGTTTTAAAGTCAGTTTGTTTTTTATTTTAAAATTATGGAAATAAAACATTTAAAAAGAACAAACTTTTTTGTGAATTTTTTTTGGCATTTAATGAAATTCAAACAAAAAATAAAACTTGGTTATAATATGAAAATGATTATTTTAAGAACAAAACATACTAGCTAAAAAATTGTTTCATACAGCAAGTGTATGCATTTAATAAATATATTATTTACATGAATAAAATGCTAAATAATGCTTTTCACTTATAATAAAATGTGTTATAATTTGACAACAAAAATGCTTTCAAAGATGATACATCTTTGCACTAAGATGCCTATGTTTATATATGTGTACACAATGAAGCACATATGCAACAACTGTGTTATGCTTTGTTAGTTTCTTAGTAAACTCTTAAATTGATGCTTTCATTTTTATCTAAATTTTCTCACAGTTCTAAACAGAATAGATATAATGTTAAATAAGTTTTTCATCTTTATCAAATCATTATATATATTAGCTATACTTGCAAATTTATAACAATTGTTAAGTTATAGAGTACTTAAAATTTTAAGCATAAAAGTTATCATTATCTTGAATTTTGATTTATATCAAACATGAGAATATTATCTAAACTTATAAAAATATTATCTGAAAAAGTGTTTTCATTTAGTAATTCATAGCAGCATTAGGATAACATTTTCTCAGTTGGGTATGAGAAGCACAAGTTGGTCTTCAATTAACATATTTTATTGCAGTTAGAAATTTATTTTAGCAAATTTATTGCTTAAGGATACACACAAATATTGATTTTTAGCTACTTTTTTATGAATAAGGACGATTCCTATTTCAGGTAATATTTTAAATCTTAACCATTAAAAATAATAATGCATAATTTCTTTGTGAATTTATGGATTCTGGGAAAATTGTTGTTAATTACATTTAAAAAACTGAGATTAATTATCACTTAATGAAACCATTGATAGAATGTGCTATTGCTCTAAGAAATTTCAACTCAGTTTAAAAAAGAACTTTTCGGGAATCAAAAGAAAATCTCAATATGTTTTGATTTTAATTCAATACTCCAAAATAATTTTCATGACTCATTCTATTTTGGCTAATTTTTTACATTTTAGATAATATTTTTAGATTATTTTGTTTGATTTCATTAATTATTTAACATTAATGAAAAATATTCTAGGTAAAACTTCAAATATGTTTTATTTTGTATGTTTAATTGTCACTAATTGGCTTGAACAATTTTCCTTTTTATTATTTGATATTTAATTAATTCTTTAAATACAACTTCCATGGACAAGGATTCAAGTTTTAATTAATAATCTTCTTAAAGTTGGAAATAGTTTGTGATTTGCAGTTATGAGTTTGTTCTCACCTTTTTCCTTTGCTAATATTTTTTACTTACCAACAAGGCTTGTACAATGTTTCCAGTTAATGACAATGGTTTCTTTAGACTAGCAACTTTATTTTTATTGTTTTTATCCAGTACTTTAAAGAAAGTGGCTGTTAAAGCTCTGTGATCCAGACAGTACTTCATTGTTACACTTAGCATGATGATATAAGAGATTGTTATCTAAACTTATAAAAATATAATTTATTTTTTATGTCCATAGTTTATACGTAGGTGCTACAAGTATTTTTTTAGGTGCATTCATTAAAAATACCATGTGTAACTTTCCATATCACATGGAATATGGTTAAGTACCCTCTTTTAGGAACTCAAAATGAAAAACGCCATTTCACCATTTCAGCCCAGTGGACCACCTTTTTCAAGATCAGTTTTCTGGCTGAACAATGAACTTAAAATCCTTGATTTATTGATACATGGTTTATAAACCAATATTTTAAGCAAATAGACTCCAGTAGCTTCTACAAGAAGCTCTCTTTAATGACATCATTACAGAAAACTGGTAACACAAAAAGTATCAGAAGCTAAACTGATAAATAATGAGAAGTAACTAACACTTTAAAACACAATTGTAACATAATCCAGTGCAGGGTTTAATTTTAAAGACATTATACGTACAACTCCCTTAAGAATAGAAATGTTCTGAATTCAAAACTAAAACCAGTTGTTCCTTTAACTATGAACATTATTAATCAATGATAAACTCCAGCTGCAATATATTAAAAAAAAATGATATATGTTCTGTGAAAACATTCATAATACTAATACTTAAGAAAAAAATATTGTGATAAGGAATTGAATTATCATTAAGGTTATAGTCTTATCATCTTTCAAATATATTACATAATTAGCAAATATTTTTATTATGTATTATTTATGTATTAGGATATTTATTCTATTATGTAATGGAATATGTGAAAAGCAGTTTGATGTTTAATTTTTTATTATTCTGTTGCCAACTTTTTGTTCAATAAGAACATCATCAGAACAACTGAAAAAAATTTAGGAAAAATTAGAAACACTGCAATTCTTTTGAAAATTTAACAGTTAATAAAATTAAAAATAAATATTTGTGATTACAATAAATATTTGTAAACAAATCAATTTGTAGATAGAAAATGTTAAAATAAATATAAAATATAGTGATTTTGTGTAGGAAAATAAAAGAGTTATGTTTGTTCAAAATAATGTGTGGGTGGTGTAATGAATAATATCTTCAAATGAGAAATCAGAGAACTGAGTTCAAATTCCAGTCAGGTTTGTTACATTCACTTAAACACAAATACCCTTGGGAAAGGTATAAATCCTTATCCTCTTCCCAGTTATAGGTTAAATAGTAGGACTTGTATGTGGAAAAATCATTGTTATTCTGAAAAAATTGTTAATGCGCTATTTACTTGCTAAGCAAATATTATTCTTACAAACCAAAATATGTTTCATCTTTAAATAACCCACAAAGAGTTGATAAACTCTAAAAAAACAAATAACTCAATAAATGTTTGTTAGATATTTCATATCAATCATTTTCATTAGACTCTATTATGCAATTCAAAGATGATAAAAGCATATATGTATTATGAAGAAAATCCATCAGTCTTACTTTATTTTACTAGATTATTTCTATTTCTGAAAAGATGTATATTTTATTTTGTTTTTACAAGAGATTATTAAAGTCAGAAATAAGATTTGATGATGGTAAGCATTTTGCTTACCAGAGAATGGACAATTGATTTTCTAGTAAATAAAACTCACTAAAAGCTCAGTATAATTCCATTGACCATTTACTTGTTATTTTAATTCCCATCTAATTTATAGAATTAAGGATTTAGTAAATATATTTCTCATATGGAAATGATAACTTCATCAAGTCTTCATTTCTTAAATTCTTTTAGATTCTTTCAGCAATACTGAAGTTTATTCATCTTACTTTTTAATTTTCGTTTCTTAGTTTTTTACAATAGAATTACTTTGATTAGACAATGTAATTTTAAATTACAGTTTCATAGCAATTTATATAATTACATGACAAATGTTCACTTTAGAATACAATATAAAATATGTAATGCAAAGATAGATTGTGTTATTTTGAATATCATATTATATTGCTTTTCTTTTGTTAAAAAATTCACATCACTAAATAATTATTTTTTATTTTCTCATTTGTAAGGTTTAGGAAAATTTTTAATGAATGATGGTAGTTATTACAATGGTGAATTCAAGAATGGGGAAATTGAAGGAAATGGGGTTCGATACTTTGGACTAAGTGGAAACAAGTACACTGGTAGTTTCTATAAAGGAGAACTTCAAGGACGAGGAATCATGGAATACAAAAATGGCTCAGTATATGAAGGTAGTTGGGAGAATAACAAAAGACAAGGTAAATGTTTCACAATTTTTTTACTTTGATGCAAAGCCAAAACATGAATAAGTTTTCTTGATTGATTTACTAGATTTTATGAGAAACCATTTCTAGTAAATAGTCATTTAAATTATCTAATGCTATTTATACATGATATTCCTGGATGACTTTCCTCAATTATTTATATATGAAAATATGTGTTCATTCCCATCTATATACCTATGATATGCATAACAATTCTAGATTCTTATGAGAACTTCCTGTAAAGAAATCATTCAAGTCTGCAGATAGCACTTCACTAAAACATACACATTTTGTTATTACAAGTTACTTTATCACCCACAGATTTATTATTGATGCTACTAGAATAGTGAACAACACTCTATACAAGTAAATGACAGTAAATAAGACTCAGTGTTAAACTTTTAACAAACATCAAATTTATTTACCACAACTCTTATTTATCTATATAGAACTTGATGTTCTTTTACTACAGCCAAAAGAACAATATAAGATTACTAAATTCATCAAAATATTTATTCCAAGAAATATTATCCTTACTTGCCTATAAGAAAATTACAAAAAATGTTATTTTATAATTTAATTATTTAAAACTAAATATTTTTCCATTTTTTTGTAATGAAAATATGTGAATTAACTTGGAAATTTATTCCAAAATTAGAAAGATACACCATGGAATTTCCACAGTTCCTACTTGTTAAAATAAATTTATCTTACATAGCATACAAAAAGTATCTTTTAAGATTTTTTTAATATTGGAAGTCAGTTTTTACTTTCAAAATATTGAAATAATAATGAAAACAAATAAAAATAATTATAATCACTGGGTCTTTGATGTTTGAGCATTTGGTCAGATTTTATAAATAAATCAGGTTAAGAATCTTTCAGTGCCCACTGTACATATGACAGTTAAGAGATAAGAAATATTTTCTATATTCTTTTCAGATCTCACATTTCTCAATATTGGACAACATAGAATGATAAATATATTTGGTGATTTTTGTACAAATCTTGTTAGCTGAAAACGACTGGAGAATATATTGAAAAGTTTCTAAGGTTACTCATTGCACCATCTAATAATCAGCAGAGATCACACTTATAAACTAAGAATCCAAACTTGCAGAGATCTCATAAATAGTGAAAGTAAACATAATACCTATTATGCTTGCTATTTTAACATTTGTGGGTTCACCTAATGCCCAGCTCGCATTCTTTCCATGTTTATTTAACAGGAATAGAGGATTATCTTTTGTTCCCAATTTAGGATATTGTTTACTAGTTCTTTCTTTCTTACAAGACCCTAATGATTTAACTGTCTTAACTTTTTGGTATTCTGGCTAATCAGTGGCTGCAACTTTCTGTTATGATGGTACCAGTTTGGCAGTTCACTGGCAGCTACATCCGACTGGTAGTAAGGAGCCCAAACTCTTTGATAGCACTTAGAGAAGCTGCTCTGATCAACAGTCGCATAATATCAGGGTGACATGGAATGCATGGGTTGGTCTCCTCGTATGCATTTCCGGTGGGCTACCCTGAGGCCACATTACATTCTAGCCTCAGCCATCTTCTGGCTAGTTTGTATTGCCATTGATGACAGATAGTGATAATTATGTTAGACTTTTTCTTTTTCTCCTTATAACAAATATCCTTATGACAATAACAATGAAAATAAATACAAGAAAACCAGTAAACAAAAAATCACCTACTCTGCCCCATCAACCTTTCTTCCTCCAATATTCATGGATTCTGTTCCACTTCTGTAGCATAGAATCTTTTTTCTTAGAACAGTCACCAGATATCTTTGCACTTTGTGAAACCAATTTAAATTACTCCATTACTACCAATTAATTCACTGTTTCAGGCTATCTTCCTCTTTGCTGAAAAGATTCTAGCATTCAAATGCATGGCCTTGGTGTTTACATCCAGGATAATCTTCTAATGTTAAGGGAATTGTTACTTGAGTCCCCTGACAACTCTTTTGTGTACTTTCAACTTTACTTATTACACTCTTTAAGTTATCTCTTTTTCCTTTATCATTCTCCCTCTTCTCAGGACTGCAATATATTAGACAAAATATCTGATAGTATTGAAATGGTGCTCTCTTTTCATTTATCTGCAAATATTTTAGTCTTGGGGATTTTAATGTACATCATGTCAAGTGACTTAAACATTCTAATGTTACTGATATTGCTGATATTCAGACTTTCAATTTTTCCATTATTCAGTCTCTTACTCAAATCGTGGATTTCCCAACTCATTTCCCTAATAAATCTGAACAACATGCTTCTTTACTTTATTTGTTCCTTACCTCCTCTCCTAGCACTTGTCACACTTTGCAACACTGTCATCTTGGCAACTTGGATCATGTTATAATATCTATTGATATTTCATTCCAATCATCTATTAGACAGGAACTTCCTATTCATAAGACTTCTTTCCATTGCCATGTTGATTGGGATTCACTTCATGAGTTTCTTCAAGAACCCCTTGGACTGACACTTTTAGCTTTCATATTGAGAATTGCACCAGAGGTTTCCTCTTGGGTCAAAGCCAGAGCAGATGCTTAAGAAATAAGTCCTTAAGAAATGTTTTCCTGAACTGGCTCCTGTTCTCTTTAAACTGTATAATAAGTGCATTGCTGCCTCTTGCTTTCCTGTTTGTTGGAAATCCTCATCTGTTGTTCCAGTCTTTAAGAACTCAAGCAAATTGTTCGACCCTTCCAACTATCAGCCTATTAGCCTTCTACCTCTTTTTGAAAAACTACTAGAGACCCTAATCAATGCTAAATTAGTTAAGCATCTCACAACACAGGGCCTTCTTTCAGAGAAGCAATATGGCTTTTGTTTCTCTTGTTCAACTACTGATATATTAATAATTATTGACTAAAGGGTCTATCAAGCTTTGATAAGAATGGTGAAGCTCGGTCTGTTACTTTGGACATCTCAAAAGCATTTAGCAAACTGGTCTTTCTCACAAGTTGAAAGGTTATGGTGTCTGTGGATGAATTTTTGAATTGATTCAGTTTTTTTTTTCAAATCATGAAATGAAAGTTGTTCTGAACAGCTACTCTTCTAAATTTTTCTGTATTATTGCAGGTGTCCCACAGGGCTCTATCCTTAGTCCCAAATTGTTTTTAATTTTCATTAACAGCCTTACTGATGGAATCAGCTCTCAACTTGGTATCTATGCTGATGAGAGAACCATTTACTCCTGTCTTGATAGTAAGGCTTATCAGTCTTATTATGAATGTAAGCACAGTACTAAATTGGCAACAAGGTCTCATCAATTTACAGATGAAATGGCTAAATGTAACCATAAGTTCTATGCTAACAGTTTCTTTTCTTGCATGTCTCTCTTGTGAAAATCTCTTCCAGGTCCATGCTTTCCGACCAACTTTGATCTTCAAAAATTTAAATAGAATATCAATCATTATCTACTGTCTTCCTGATTACTCTTTTTGTGATAAAAATGCTACCAATATAAATTCAGCTTCTTTTATAAAAGAAGTTAAGTGAAATTATAGATTCGCTCATATCTTTCTTTTTTTAATCAAATTTATTCCAAGCATCTAAGACACAAGGGGTTATTGGGTGTGAAAGAATTAGAAAACAGAAAACATTATGAAGAAGCAAGAACAACAACTGATTTTTAAGTGCCAGTTGTGCATAAACTTATTGATTCCCATTAATCAAAAGGATAAATTAACAGAATATAACCTTTATATTTAATAAATAAATGCAGCATAAAATTCAATCTAAAATATGTCTTTTATAGGTCATGGTATTTTAAAAGAAAAGGATGGTTCTAGCTATGATGGCAGTTTTCATCAACATAAAAAACATGGAAGTGGAACTCAAAATTACAAGTGAGTTTAAATTGACCTTTAAAAATTTAAATGGCTTTCTACTTTAAGAAATCAATTTCTTCTCATTAAAATTTGATTTTGGATTTTATTGCTCTAATGCTTGGTAAATGGCTTTATGATTGTTGTTTCAATCAACACAGTATCAGTTTGATGAAATATATCCCTTAGTGATGAGAAATTATGGCCTATTAATAGCACAACTGACAATAAAACATTGTTTAAAAGCAAAATAAATAATAAAGTAAGAAAATTATACAAAGAATAATGTTGAATTTGGTTTCTTTGTTTATTGAATAAAACTTTGTAGCAACTGTGTCATTTTATTAATGTTAACTTTTTCATTTTTTTGACTTTTAATCTTGAAAAAATTCTCAAAATTATATCTACGTTATTTCTATGTATGTGTGTGTCCATTTGGAACAAAAGTTTTTTTTGTTTTTTTGGAATGTCTTTAAGTGAATTTTATAATATGAGATAATTTTAATAATTGATTTCTTTTTAGATCTGTAAGAAAGAAAACTTCATTAATTGTGAATTATGAAAATAAAAGATGTCCTATAATTCATATGTGTGAAAACTTAAACTATTACATGTTTACATTTTTAAGGAATGGTGATATCTACACAGGTGATTGGATACAAGGACAAAGACAAGGTCATGGATGTCTTCAAGCTGCGGATGGAACTTATTATAAGGTGAGATGAACATTTTTCATTTCATGTCTTTTACTCATAGTCACTTATCTACAATTCATTGCATCAAAATCATTATCTCTACTTTTCTTTTTAGAATTTTCAGGTTTTTATCATATCCTAGTTTGTACAATATCAGGTACATATTCTTTTTAATTTTTCTGATAAACCTTTTTGAAGAAACTGTATATTAAACAATTATACTGCTCCCAAATCAATCCAGTACCAAAAGTATGAAAAAAACTGTATGCAACTAAGAATTAATCAAATGTGGGTTCACCTAATGCCCAGCTCGCATTCTTTCCATGTTTATTTAACAGGAATAGAGGATTATCTTTTGTTCCCAATTTAGGATATTGTTTACTAGTTCTTTCTTTCTTACAAGACCCTAATGATTTAACTGTCTTAACTTTTTGGTATTCTGGCTAATCAGTGGCTGCAACTTTCTGTTATGATGGTACCAGTTTGGCAGTTCACTGGCAGCTACATCCGACTGGTAGTAAGGAGCCCAAACTCTTTGATAGCACACAAGAAGAAGCAGAAATAGTCAAATAAAATTTCTTATGAGATGAAATGGAATTGTAGTTCACTTAACTTTTTTCTAAAAAACATTTTCATGAAATTAATGTTCTTCCAATGTGATTATGGTATATAGAGATGAAGTAAAAGCCAAATTTACTGTCTATAGTACTATTTATTGTTGACTCCATTTGGTTACAGTGTTTAAAATGGTTGACTATTGTCATAGTTCTTTTTCTGATTTGAGAGTTCATACAGGGTTGTTGTGTTCCTTCTGGTTGAAGGAAATTTGTTGCATTCATCCTTTCTTCTTCTTTCTCTTCTGGAGTTGTAAGTCAGGTCAAACTCACAGCTGATGAATCACCAACCTTTGTGTATTGAACTGCTACCTGAATCAAGTTCCTCTCCATTGCATCATCTCTAGTCTCATACATGATTTTTTTCTTTTTATTGAGGCTGACACATCAGTGTTTCCCATTTGATTTTTGGTGGGATGTGTTGTCATTTGTTGATTTTTTTATAATGTTCACTGACCTACATAAACTTAATCTGGGTTCATTTCCATTACCGAGGATAGGAACAATGGAAGGAAGGAAATGAAAGAAAATATACAGAAGAGAGGGAGAGACAGTTTTCTTTGTGAAGAAGAAAGTGTATATTTTCGTATGGTGTTATTACTACCTAATCCTATTATACAGTCCCCCTTCAGACATGGAGTGAATAAAGTTTTGGTACAATTCAGTTCTACTACTATAATTGCTAACTTCTCATTTTTTTCTTTTTTTTTTCTTTTTACTTAAAATAATAGTACTCATTCCGTTTTTCCATGTGATACATCTACCTGCTTTAGATGTGTACAATTTGGTATTACTGCTTGTACTATTTTCATCAGACATCCTGGTCGTAAAATTTTTCTCACTGTGTATTTATTTGATTTTGCCTGTAATTTGGCCCTATTTTTACATCCTTGTACAAACGGCTCTATATACAGTTTTAGTCTGTCGATTGATACTTGTATGTCATTATTTAAATCTATTAAGTAATACTTTGGTGAATGTTGTAAAACTTTGTAAGGGCCTGTATATGGTGCTTCCAAAGGTTTTCATACTCGATCTACTTGAAGCCATATTTTATTGCAAGTATGTAAAGAATTTGGTATGAAAGTGTTTGTTTGTGTAATATGATGTTTTCTGTTATCATTTAACATGTCTAATTGTGACATTGATTTACACAATTCTTTTATATACTCTTCCTGCACAGGGGCAATGTCTTTAATATTTGTATTGTCATCTAATTGGCAAGGGGTCAGTAGTGGTGCTCCAGTAACTATGTGAATGGTGCAAAATTAGATTCATTTAGAGTACTATGAATTCCTAAAAGTACAATGAGTATGGCGGTTAACCAAGATTCCTTTCAAGCTATTATTGCTGTTTTTAATGTGTGATGCACTCTTTCTATCAATCCATTACTTTGTGAATGATATGCCATTGTTATTAATCTATAGAATCCTACTACTTTTGCTAATTCTTAGAATAATTTGCTTTCAAATTGGTGACCACGATCAGTGACAACGTATAATGGTATGCTGAATCGCAATATTCATGCATCAATGAAAGCTTGGGCTACTGACATTGCAGTGATTTCTATCATAGGTTGGACACAATCTATACAAGTAAGTAAATATCGATAAGGGCTGATATATTGTTCTGATTCCCTTTGTGTTGGCAGCAACAGCCCGACAATGTCGATATTTACAGTTTGGAATGTTGCTGAAGGTAATTCAAAATTCTGCGCAGCAGACTTGATGTGTCTGTGAATCTTGGATTGTTGACAGACAACACATTCTGTGAAGAATGTCTTTATGGATTTGTCCATTTCAGGCCAAAAATATCTTGCTTTTAATAATTTCAAAGAGGCACTTATTCCATGGTGTGCTAAGCAATGTAAGCTAGTAAATATTTTTTTACACATACCTCTGATATTTATATGTGATATCTATATAAAAAATATATTCAAATTTTATGCTCATAATATATGAAGCATTTGCTCTTAATTAAAAGAGACATAAACAAATGTTATTTTCTCAATAACTAATTCTGAAAGCAAAAAATAATTTTTTATTTTTATATTTTATTTTTGAGAATCGGTGATATTTTTAGCTGTTTAGCTTACACTTATCTTTAATTTCTTAAAAATCAATAACCATGAGAGGGTAGAAATGTAAGTACTATATGGTCACATTCCTATGGGATTGTTAATTAGACTAGATTTGGAAAAAATTAAGAGGAGGCACGGTGGAGTAATGGATAGCGGCTTGGATTGAGGAATTGGAGAGCCGAGTTCGAATTCCAGTCGAATCCATTACATTCACTTACATGCTAATACCCTTGGGAAAGGTGTGAATCCTCTTTCTTCTCCCTCCAGCTATGGGTAAAATAGCAGGACAGACTGGGTTTTATAGCCTTGGATGGCAACTGGTCTAGGAGAAGGAAAACTCTGAATTCAAAAGCTGCTCTTAGATGAGGGTGAATGGAGTCTCTCTGAGCTTTGGTTGGCAATCCATTTAGTGATGGTGCCACGATAAAAACACCCTTGATAGCCCTAGCAAAGCATCAAGAATTCAGCTATTTGACAAGATTATGAACTACACCAATCAAAGTATTGGTGAGTTCAATCTCGACTGAGGCCGCAAGATGATGATGATGAGACTAGATTTAAGATGGAGACAGAACATTAATTGGTATATATTCAAGGTATTGTTGATACTCCCTGAAGAGTGAACAAACAGGTCCGTCCATAAAACTCTGGAGTAACATGCTCTGCTGAAGGTAACATGAATCAGCTAAGTGACAAATTTTACTCATATTAATATATATATATATATAATCTTATTATATTGATTAAAATTGTTTAAAATTTTATTTAATTATTTCTTTGTTTTAATATAGATTTAACTTTATAATCCAATGAAGAAATTAAGTTCTTAATACAGTTTAGGAAGTAAAACCCTACAAAAGCTAAATAACGATAGACTGAAGTAATAAACCCATAGAAAAACTTCTTGCTGAATTTTTATTAAATACTAGAAATCTATTAAACATGAAACATTACACAGTTCTCTCCAAGACTCAAGATAGATGATGTTGATAGAATTAAAGCTGTCATTAATTATAACTATAAAACTTAATATCACTGAACTTCTTCAATAAATTGAATAAAAACTATTACACTAATGTAAAGAAAGCATCTTTTTTGTACTAATATATATTTAAAAATAAGCATGTAAAAACATTAACATTGCTCTTTACTAAAATATTGCTATATTACCAAAATATTATTATATTGGTTAAAATTTTTAAACCTTCCAGTGTCTATTTCATGGATTAAATGCTGACAATTTTGTAAGATTAAGAATAAAAAATTATGATTATCACAAATTTGTTATAATCCCCACACAATGGTCTGCTAATTAGATATCTGATTCAGCCTATTCAATATAAACAATATGGTTTATCTGGATTTTAATATGAGATATAAATCCCTCTCATGTACAAAGAAAATATATCAGCTCAAGAAAAGTTGTTTGTTGAAATTCTTTTCCAGAATATAGACATAGTCTTTATTGAAAATCATATTCTGAATCAGCTTGCTGCACAATTCTTCTTTAAAAAGAGCAACAGATTTAGATAAAATGTATATGAAGAGTTATGAATTCTGTACTATCTAAACAATACTCTTTGGGCTAAATAGTTTGTTTTTTATGCAGAGATGTATAAAACCACAGTTTAATTTGGATATTAATTTAAAGTAAAATGAATGCACACACACTTTCAAGATAACCCTTTCAAAATATTTTCATACTGGAGAGACAGCCTCCCTCTCATGCATAAAATGTCATCAAGTATAAATAATTGAATCATCATGGGTTAACTGGCACTGCATACAAAATTATAAGCACAGTTTTTTTTTCTGGCAGAATCTAAAGAAATCTGGATAAATGCTGAAGAATTAATTCTATGACACTTCTGAATATTAATAGTCAAATGTTTACTGGTGGAAAGACAAACTGAATATGCATAGATAGTGCTTGTCTAAAAAGCAAAAAAGTTAGTAATCACACAACTTATTTTATAATCAAGGTGGCCAACAAAGATTGGTTCTTTTTTTTAATAAGACATCTTTAATATAAGAGAAGGTAAAAACAACAGTTATTATATAAGGGGGTGCTGAAAAGTTTTGGCCCAACCAAGAAGAGATTCCAAAATAAATTCTGATATTTGGTCATTTGCTCAGATTTGGAGAAGTGAGTTGAGCCTATAAGTTTTCAGCAACCCATAAGATTTAGCATCCCACTTCCCATTCATGTCGTTTGTAAACGAATGTAAACTACTTTACTCTTTCTTACTGTTGAACTATAATTTTTTACCAAATGTTTTGTGTATTTTGATATGCTTGTCGAATCTGTATTTTTTCATTTCCCCTAACTTATATGTGTAGTATGATCCATTCACCTCCTGATTGGTGGGTCTGTCCTGACCACATATAGTCAGGAGAACATTACAGTAGGGCTGAAAATTACAATATATTTGCAGTAATCTCTCCACCTATTTTTGACCCATCCACCCCATATCACATGAAACACTAGGCTCTCCTAATATATCAGCCTTAACTAAATGCACTTTTTTGTGGGGGCATGAGACATGCAAGGTCATTATGCCCTGCTAGAAGGGACAAATGCTGTACATGCAGCTAAAGTTTGTAAAAGTAAAAAAATGTGTTGTGGAACTGTATCTTGTTCATCATCATTGGATACACTTGGTTGTTTATCAACTACAACAATAGAAATCAAGGTTAACAAACAGCCACTAAAAGCACTGATTGACTTGGGGAGCACAGAAAATTCCTTAATATAAACATTGCAAAAGTAAATTCATGGAAAACTTACCTGTGCCTAAACGAAGTTGTGATGGCTAGCTCATCTCTTTCCATAAAAATATTTGGATACTGTTTAGTTGATCTACAAGTAAAAGGTACTTTATGCCAAGGAGTAAGATATCTGCTAATAAGAGATCTATTTTGTGACTTAATATTAGGGTATAACTTCTTGCACTAACATGGCAGAAATCTTAAATTATTTATGACAGCTGTTAAAAAGTACAAGCTTACATTTAGCCAAGACAAAGGTTATTTTAGATGTAAAAATATGAAATTACTTGGGTACATAGATAAAAATAACATAAAACCCAATCCAGAACATCTGAATCCATTACTCAGCCTACCAGTCCCAAAAGATTTACCCACCCTTCTCAGGGCATTGGAAATGTTTGCACACTATGCCTACTGGATACCATTTTTTTTTTCAGGCAAAATCTACCCTCTAACAACAGTATTGAAACTCCCATTATCTCCCATAGCAGAAAAAGTGTTTAATGAGTTAAAAAGGGGAAGAGCGAAAGCAGCCACCACTATGCCTGATTATATACTACCACTGATAGCAGACAGATGCCTCAGAATGTGCCATAGCCACCTCTTTAAAACAATCAGGGTGACCCATAGTCTTTTTCTCCAGAACCCTGTCTAAATCAGAATGTAGGCATTCTGAAATAGAGAAAGCAACCTATGCAACTGTCAAATCGCTGAGAAAATGGAGGCATTATTTGATCAGGCGATATTTTAAAATGATTGCAGACCAAAAATCAGTCTCATTCCTGTTTAATCCGAAGACAACAAGTAAAATTAAAATTAGATGATAGCCAGGTGGAGGATGGAACTCTTGTGTTATTTGTTTAATGTAACATACCACCCCAGTAAAGAGAACACAGCTGTGGATGCCCTCTCTCACATATGTAGCTCAGCTGTTTGCAAAGAAGAGTTAAAGAAACTAGATAGAGAGTTGTGCCACCCAGGTGTTACACACATGGTTCACATGACGAAGATCAAAAACCTTTCCTATTCATTAGGGGATGTGAAGGAAATTACCAACTCATTTAAGACTTGTACTGAAAATAAACCTAGGTTTTACCATCCTGGGACCAGAAGGTCATAAAAGCCATGCAAATATATAAAAGAATTGCATTGGATTTTAAAGGCCCATTTCTGTCAAAAACTCCTAATATATTTTGACAATAATTGACAAATATTTGCAGTTTCCTTTCACAATACCCTGCCCCAGTGTATCCTCTACATTGGTCATACAAGCACTTTACTCAGTTTCGGGCTACTTGTGTATATTCATTTGGACAGAGGAGCTTCATTTGTGCCCGAACAAGTAAGGCAATTCCTACAAGTGCAAGGAGTTGCTGTATGTAGAACAACCCCATATAACCCTCAAGGTAATGGTCAGTGCGAGAGGTATAATGGCATTATTTGGAAAACAGTTCAACTAGCAGCTGCTAATAAAGGGGTAACTTTAGAGAATTGTGAACAATTACTCCAAGAGGCCCCGAATGGGATTAGAATACTGTTATGCACAGCCACTAACGCAACATGAACAATTCCTCCTGTTTTAGAAAACAGACTGGAACCTCCCTACCATCTTGGCACTTGAAACTAGGAGTGATATTACTAAAAAGACACATGTGACTGAATAAGAATGAAGGTGGATCAAGTGGAGCTTCTAGACATCAATCCCCAGTATTCATGTGTCTGCTACCCAGATGGACAGGAAGGCATAGTCTCACTAAGAGACTTGGCTCCAGCAGGGGATGAATTGGACCCACAAGCCTAAGTGAGGGTTGCCCACAGGACACCTCAACTGACTTTGAAGAAATGGAATCATAGTCTCCTTTTTAAGATTACAAGTAACCCTTGAGTGGTGATGAATGGGTTTCACAGAAGATAGCATGCCCACCTGCCAATATTTCAGAGGACAAGCAAAGAACTCATAGAAGATTACGGAAATGTAGCAGGATTAAATCCAGTTCTAGTGTGAAAGAGGAAGAATCTCATCATACTCCTAGTAATCCGCCATGGCCTCGCAGACAGCAAAGGATTCCCACTCAATTCAAGGACTTCTTCCCTTTGTAAGAATAAGGCAGGGGAGAATATGGTATGATCCATTCTGGAACCAGAGGATTGAATATATGCCAATATACAGTAGTCACTGGGACTGGTAGATAGAGTTGCATATGGTTTGGTGAAAATCTTTATAATCACCAATATCTGAACAAAGAAAGTGGTCCACCATCCATTTTACTTTATATAATGCAGAGACCATGCTGGACAGTTTAACATAGTTGATGAAAAGTGGTTTTCTACATAGGCTTAATGCTTGGAATAGATATACCTAGAGTGTAGATCTCTTTTGACAATAGTTCTTAAACTTGTGGTTTGTTTTCATTGAACCAGTCAGCTTCTTTTTAAGGATTCTGGAATAGTGAATTTTATGATTCCAGAAAGATTCTTTCAGACAGCTGACAGCTTTCAGTTTGAATTCTGGCTTCTTTTAGAATTCTGCTCTATTTTCTGATCCCATTCCTCTTTGGCTTTGGTAAAATCAAAAAGATAGCAATTATCTATTGGCTATACTAAAGGAAGATGGAACTTACTATCTATGTTTTCTTCATCAAATTGAGTTTGTTTCATTCCTGATTGTCTATGTCATTTTTGGCTTATGTGTCTTGCTGTACACATGTATATATAAATACATATACATGAGCATCAATGAAATTTATGTTAGACACAAATAGACAAGAAAAGCAAACATACAGTTTTAAATTATTCACTTGAAAGATATAAATTAAATCAATATAATTTAAATAAATTGTTTGAAACTACATCATTGTTTTAATGCTTATTGAATAAAGTTTACATTTTCTTATCAAATGTCATAGAAAATAACTGGACATTTTGATTGCATAATTGAATATTTTGCAGGAAACAGACAGATTTTTTATGTGCTTATTTATTCTAACATTTACTACCAAGAGAAGAAAGTATTGATTTATTTTCATTTAAATTGAAAAGAAATTTATTTTTTTTTATTTGAAATGCATTGAATTTTATAATAGTCACTTGCAGAAGTTTCTTTGTTTCTGCAAACTGTTAGTTTGATTCTCGATTATGTACTGAGATATTTTCACTAATATAGTTTCATATAGATCTATAAAATTGCATTTTGCTCTGCATCTTTCTAAAGTATTAGTACTAAATATTTCCATGGCTAGTATCTTTGGGGAAAATTGTTCTTAGGATTCATTCACAAATACCTGTACCTTTATTACTTATAAAGATTGGATTTTATTAGCATGAATGTCTATACATATTCACAAGAATAGGTCTTAGGTCTTGGATGCAGTTATGAAAGTTTTAGACATATTTTTATTTTGGTACTTTTTAATCCATTTTGTTCGGTTTATGTCCTTCAATCTTCCTTAAATATCAATCTACAATAATAGTACAAATAAATAGTATGAAAAGGTGCTGAAGAGTTTTTTGTTTGCTCAGCTTCACAAATTCTAACCAAACATTTTAAAAAATCCTTTCTTGATCAGGCTAGTAACTTACCAGAACCACTATCATATGTTGGATTTCTCTCATCCTCATATTTGGAAGTGATAGGATGAACAAAATATGAAGGAAAAATTGAAAAAAACCCAAGACCTAAGATCTATTCTTGTGAATATGTATAAACATTCATACTGATAAAATCCAATCTTTATAAGTAATAAAGGTACAGGTATTTGTGAATGAATCCTAAAAACAATTTTCCCCAAAGATACTAGCCATGGAAATATTTAGTACTAATACTTTAGAAAGATGCAGTTACTAAAACTTTTGCACTAAATTTACACACTTTTATGTGTGAATCTATGCTGAGAAAAATTTCACTTCACCTTTTGCAGAGTAAATTATTGTAAAAACTGTGAATTCTTACATTCAAATATATTCCGCACTGATGATTTTCACATTACCACTAAAGATGATTCAAATGTCTTAAGGTATTGTAAGACACATCATTGACATTTTGTAATTTAGCAAAATAATTTCTGTTTATAAGGATAAGAAACTTTAGAAATTACCAATATATTTTCTTCAGCAATTAGCTGTTAATTGCTTGTGTCAGATAGTCTCAAAATAACTGGAATGTGTTAATGAATGAACCTAAAGCAAGAGAAAACAACATTTGAATATAAGTAAAACCAAAAAAAATTGTTGATATGCAATGATTTATATACCAGATAATATGAATAAACAAAGTTATCTTAGAATCACATTCATGGAGCATTTAAGAATAAAGTCATGTAACAATGATTTGTAAATTAACATGTTAAACATTACTTTACATCGGGCAAGATAATATACACAATAATTTTTTTCTGATTTCTACTTCTTATTTCATATAACATATTTTCTTAATGCTATCTGTCAATATTATTCAAATATTTACTCTGATTGATTTGCCTGAACTGAATATGACATTGCTATTTTCAGGGCCAGTGGGCAAATGATGTGATGAGCGGCCTGGGCTATATAAAGCATTCCTCCGGAATTATCTATGATGGCCACTGGATAAATGGACTACCTCAATTATTAGCAACTAAACTGGTTTTTGTTTCCAACCAAACAGTTAATTTTATTGACAAAGAAAAACCATTCAACATTGAGATACAATGCCACAATGATGACAAAGAACTAATTCCTGGTAAATATACAAATTCATACAATTTCAAAACTATAGAACTATATTTGCATATGTGCCACAATCCTCCCCTAACCGATTTGTCATTTACTCGTAAATGACACCTAAACCCAAATACACCATTTAGCATGCATCATGCATTTGTCCCATGCAATTCTATACTACTTTTCTACATGCAATGTAATGTTCTCTTTAAACTTCTTCTGTTCTACATGCAATGTAATGTTCTTTTCATCTTCTTCTGTTCTACTTGCAATGTAATGTTCTTTTTCAAGTTCTTCTGTTCTACATGCAATGTAATGTTCTTTTTCATCTTCTTCTGTTCTACATGCAAGGTAATGTTCTTTTTCATCTTCTTCTGTTTTACATGCAAGTGTAATGTTCTTTTTCAAGTTCTTCTGTTCTACATGCAATGTAACATTCTTTTTCAAGTTCTTCTATTCTATATGTAATGTAATGTGTGCGTGTGCCTGTGGGTGCAGATGTAGTTACTATGGCTTGTTCTTCTTGGTCAATGTTTTCCTCTCCGCTGTGGGAGGTTTTTCCGCCACACATGGCGGTCTCACGCCAGCCTCCTCCGCCGGTCTTCCTGCAATCTCTTCGCCAATTCTGTATGAGTAAGGAACACTGCTCGGCATCTCCCTCTCGAGTTGCTGCATGCTCATTTGATTATCGTTCGTTAATCTCCTCTTACTCTTAATCTTCCATATTACTATACCCCTGATGGCTATAACTATGAATGTACCCATCACTACTGACCAACTTATCGCGACCTGCTCATCGTCTTCCCAAGCCATACCTTCATTTCCCAACGCACTTAACTTGTCCCTCAATTGATCCATATCGATCTTTTCTATCGGCTTCATTAGTACTGGCATTTTATTCAAGGTAACATTGGAGAATCCCTTCACTATTGGCTCCCACAATTCTGTACAATTGACTAAGCCTCTGCCAATCATTTCTATGATTGAATCTTTCTCTTCATATCTTTCTTCTTCCTGGTAATAGGGGGGTAAAGAAATAGATATCCCAAATGCCGAACATCCCATGGGTAATTTTAACAGGGATAATGGTGGCCTTACTCTTAATGTCCTTGTGAACTCTCCCCCACATACCCTAGACAAGCTGATAGGTTTCTGTGTGGCCACTGCCCACACCCCGTCTCAAACACTGATAGCTTGTGGTAATGCCGTGTTTGCTAATACCTCCACTTGGCAGGTTCTCTTAATTCCCTCTCTCTTCCCTTCAAACAATTCTAGTATGCACATTTTGCGGTTACCAGTTATATAGATAGGGGGCTTAACGAGGTACAAGTTCCTAGAGCATCATTTCTACACTTTCTAGCTTCTTCAGCTGTTAGCAACATGAATTTCGTTCTCCCCGAATTTAAAGCTATGTATTCTGTTTCCACTTTGTACCTTGCTATCATTCCCAAACCTTGATCTCTTCTGGGGTAGGGAATGGGTAAATTTATAACCTGGTATATCTCGAATATACTCTCTCTATCTAACAACGGAACAGATATCACAACCAATAGTTGTCTATTTTCCAACAAGGTCACACATCCCAGTGCATTATAATATTTCCACAATTCTTTGGTGGGTCCACTGGCAGCCTTAAATGGTGGGGTAACTCGGCCTGTATTCCGAGTAGCACTTCCCTTAGGTGACCCAGGTTTACTATGCTTGGGGAGAGATGTCCCAATGACAGCATGTCTAATTGCGCTCTCACATGTTCCAGCAAGGTCGTCAACGACTGACTAGTTTGTCGTACCTTATTCGTAATTGTCATCAGTTGGAAATATTTTTGCATGAATCCACTCATTTCCTGTAATTCGATCATTACAGTTTCTGTATCATTAATTACCTCTTGTCTCAACCCTGCCAGGTTATCTATTAACCAATTGATTCTGGCTCTATTTTTGGCCACTTCTAACCTTGTCACATTTAATATTGTCACACTCTCTCTTGCCACTTGAGCAAGTGTCCTCTGGTTTACTTCCACTTCTCCCAGTTTCCTTCTTATGAATTTAACGTCATCTTCAGTCACTGTTCCAAACAGGACATTTAACGCTTTTCCCACAATCGGAACTACTGATCTCTTTTCCCACGTCTGCAGTAACTCTATTCCCTTCAGGTAATTTTTCATGTTCCTCCATTGAGCCTCTATCATAGTGGCCTCTGATTCTAGGGAGTGTAATAAACTAAGATACCCCTTTTTCTTGGGATAATCTTGCCCTACCTTCAACAGGGCTGCATCCATCTGCGTTAGCTCATTTCTTAGCTTATTTAGTAGCGACTCATATGGTTTCAAATCTATCACGAATTTAGACCTGGTTATTATTACTTCACTCGTCTTTTTAAAAATGGTGTTTCAGCTGTGCTTCCCAGCTTCCGCCATCGTCACCATCAGTGTGGCTACCATCATCATCATCATCAACCCTTTCATTATGATCATTCCTGCAAGGTAACAAAATTCTCTTGTTGTTATTCTTCATAACCATTCAGTCTTGCTCAATTCATTACTCAATTATTCCATAATTTCTTACTAAGTTCAGCTCCTCCCTCCTCTAACTAACTCTTAGCAGACAGAATGGTCTGGACAGATGTGCGTGGCGCTCACTCCAAAGGTCATACTTCATGACACCACTGATGGCCAGTCAGCAATGCCAATAATCTTCTTCCATCCCTCGTAAGGCGCAGCTCACAACTCCATCCCCTCCATCCACATCCACCACAGTCAACCAGCAGGTTTTTGGATGAGCCAGTGTCGTTATCTGTCGACACCGAATGCTTCTATTCTGCACAGCCTTCTTTGTTCTACTGAGATTTGGGGTTCTTCACCCTTCTTAATCTCATCTTCCGAGGTAGTCCCTGCTCAACCTCTAACCTTCCCTCTGTGTTTAATTCCCGTCCAGGAGGTGTTTTGTCCTCTTCTTCATCCCCTGATTCTTCCTTCTGTTTAGAGCCCTCGCCCTGGACGTCTTTAATACCTCTTGACTCTTTGTCTAGATCTCTCCTGTTTCTTAGCTTTTCCTTGAGCTGGGAAAGGGGTATTTGATCCTCTTCCTCCCACTCGCTGGGCCCTTCGTCCTGTTCAGGGTGCCTCTTTTTAGAGCCCTTGCAGTCAAGGATGATTGGATCTCCTCGTCTTTCTCTTCCTTTCCTTTGGACACGGGGGTGCGATGACGACCTCACAGGGTCTTCTCTACACCAATTCAGGCGACAACTGAATGCTGCTGATCCCGCCGAGGGTTCCAACTCTGTCATTTGGATCGTTTCGTCTATCTGGCCAAGTCAATCTATCTCCTCATTTTCCTCGGAATCTTCCTCCGTCTCCATTTCTTCCGGCTCAACCAGAGTTACCTTCCTTGTCCTTGTCTTCTTAGGCCTCGGCTCGCTCATTTCCAGGTTAGCTATTTCAGCCTTCTTTAGATCATTGGCATGGACCCTCCTTGCTTGTCCTGCCACTTGATCCCATATTACATATGATACTGGACCCGTCTGCTCTACTATCCGGTAGTACAGTTCCCATCTTTGGTCCAGCTTTCCTTCTCTCTGGTGGATTTTATAGTAGACAGGGTCTCCAACCTTCAATTCTACTACCTTTCTTTCAGCATTCACTCTCTCATTTCTTTCCTTCTGGGCCCTCTTTATTCTTCTTCTGGCCTGTACAAATATTTTATGTTGTTGTTCCAGCAACAGCTGATGATGATCTTCTCCCATATACTTCCTTCGGGGCTTCAATAGGTTATCCACAGGCAGGACCACGTCTCTGCCAAACAACATAAGTAAGGAGAAAATCTGGAGGTTTCATTTATCGTAAACCTCAGGGCCGCCAGAGCCTGCGTCAAATACAAGTCCCAATTTCCAGTGTTCTCTCTGACCAGCTTGGCCAATACATCTCCCAAGGTTCTATGAAACCTTTCCACTTTAGCATTTCCTTGGGGTGATATGGAGATGTTTTTACGTGCTCTATATTCAAACCTGTCAGCACTTCTCTCATTATGCTGTTTATATTCTCCGTGCCATTATCTGTTACCAATTGCACAGGGGCGCCATACCTAGGGAAGATTTCACTTATTATCAAACCAGCCACAGTTCTAGCCTTCTTGTCTGGTACTGCAAATGCCTCAGGCCAATTTGTTAGCCAATCGAAAAAACTCACTATATAGTTGTTTCCTTGTGCAGTTTCCCCGTATGGTCCTGATACATCCATACTCACTTTCTCGAAGGGGAAGATCGGCACGTCCGTCTCCTCCAATAGTGCCATTTCCTGCCTTCTGCTCTGCGACTGGCACACTACGCAGCTTCGAACATAGTTAGTGACCTCTCCGTACAGTTTGGGCCAATAGTACTTTCTTCCTATTAGATCACATGTCCTATCAATTCCCATGTGACCCAACCTCTCGTGGCACTGTTCCAATATCTCTGGTCTTAAACTTTTGGGCACATACAACTTGGGCTTGACTTCTTCATCCCTGCCTGAGAGATAATACAGCCTTTCCTCTATTATGGCATACTTGGTGGTCTCTCCTGCCTTCACCTTTTCTCTCAGGGCAGCTATTTCACTGTCTGCCTGCTCCTTCTCAATTCCTTCTGTCCAATAGGGATCGGTTATTATCTGTGCGTCCCCTTCTTCGTCCGATTCTAACATAGGGCGATCTTTTAGCTTATTAGAGTTAATTACTCCTATTCTATAGACTTTATCATCTACTCCCTGCTCTACTTTTACAGATCTTTCTTCCAGTTGTCTCGGTATTCTTGAGAGTAAATCTGCACACGTGTTTTCCTTCCCTGCCAAATACTCTATCTTACAGTGGTAGCCACTTAACTTAAGTGCCCACTGTTGAATCTTCTTATTATTTGTCCATTCTGCCTACAATAGGTACTGCAGAGGCTTGTGGTCTGTTTTTATAGTAAAGACCGCACCATTCAAGTAGTAGTCCAGTTTTTGGAGAGCATACATGATAGCATATGCTTCTCTTTCTATTACTGGCCATC